TTCCAAAAACAAACTTTATTAACAAATTATGAATCATAGACATGGTGAACAAGAAATCCAATCAAGTACCAAATGGTTGGAAAGTTATAGAAGTAGCTGGCCAACACTAATACCCCACAATACACAATCGCATTCCAACTTTGATTGATGAAAAATAAAGGAACATCCCAAATTCTTTTGTGACCGACAACCATAAAGAAGCCAAGAACTTTTCCCTATCCCAAAGATAATCCACATATTCTTCTTTCCCTTAAAAAATCTTAAGGTTCCTTTACAACCAAAAAATTGAAATGCCTTCTGATAAAGTAGAAATACTTAAGTCACCCCTTATCTAACAGCTTAAGCTTTTAGAGCATATGGTGATTTAACATGGTATTCAGAGTAGAAAATTTTGCGTTCAAATCTCACTGTCACCCTCATTATTAAAAGATTTCTATGGGCTAGCTCTAGAGGGGGCTTGTCGAAGTATAAATAATTAAGTTACATCATCTCTAACCATTTGACCTCCACCAAAGCTCTGTAGAAAGACTCAATCTCAAATTTATTCTTTCTAGGAGGGAATGCATCTACACAAATACATTGAGAAAAATAATACAATCAATCACATAGCCAATCCTGAAAGCTGCATAGGAACGAAGCTGACATAAAACAACATGATCAGCAAATCTCGCAGAATTATCCACAATAGCATTATTGTCAAACTATAATAAGAGCTCCTGAATTTAGTCTCTAGTAGTTGTCCTCTCCTCATATCCTAAAATTCTTTCACAACCCAATCCATAATACACTCTAACCCAACTAAACATTAAACCTCCCCCCCCCCCAAAATTTTTTCTCATACCTCTAGGCTCTGACTATCTCAAAAAATAATTGATTTTCATAATTTGCAACGCTCCAAACAAAACCTCCAAAAAACTTGCTCAATAGAGCTTTGTCAAAACACAATTACTCCCATATTCCAGCCCCCTTCACAATTATACTTGTGGCCTTGTGCTGTAGCAAATATTGAGTTCCTCCACATACCTTCCAACAAGAAAAATTCATCAAAAACTTCTCCAGCCTTTTGCCTTTTCTCGACCAAAAGAAAAAAAATTTGAAATACATAAGATNGCTGTAGCAAATATTGAGTTCCTCCACATACCTTCCAACAAGAAAAATTCATCAAAAGCTTCTTCAGCCTGTTGCCTTTTCTCGACCAAAAGAAAAAAAATATGAAATACATAAGACCACTAAAGAGGGCACTCCTCATGTGAGTCTCGTTCTTTTTACTGCACCCTCCATCCTGACAACTCTCAAATCTCAGAGTAACTATTTCCAAGGATCAAAATATCGTTTTGAAATTGTCAAAACGTCCGAAACGTTTTTGTTTCCAAGAAAACTAAAATGAATTAGTGATTAAATCGAAATTCTAATATTTTAAGGTATTCTATAATATTTTATAATATTTCAATGCATTTGCACAATTATTTCAGAATATTTCAAAATAATTCAAGATACTTATATATATATTGACCAATGTTTTAAAACAACAATTCTTAAATTTTTAATTTTTTCATTATGTTTCCGAAATGGGTCGAAATGTTTTCAAAATACGTCAAAACGTTTTCATTTTCTAGGTAACCAAAATAATACACCAAAATGAAATTTTGATCATTAACTATTCCCTGGAAAGACGAACTCAAAGAAAGGATACCATATGATTTGACAATTCTCATAATCCAAATTTAAAAAAAAAAAATAACTGATAGAGATTGAAAAGGAATTGGATGAGCTTAATTGAAAAGCTGAATTTTATTATTTGTTTTAGTATTATTTTATTAGTTAGGGAATATTCATTTGACCAAAAAATTATTATAGAATTTTAATAAGATAGGAATTTGAAAGTTTGGTTGTGAAACTACTTTAGAATTTTATTAGGATAATATTTTTTATTTTGATAGAAGACTTAGCCTATAATATTGATGTATCTCCACTATTTTTATTAGAGAGAGTAATATAATAAAAACTTATTTCTCTGTGGAGAATTTTGTGTGTTTCTTAACCTAATCCTTGTAAGGATTTGGTATCTCTTCTTCTTTCAATTTTCTGATTTCCTTTTCTTCCGTCCTACATCAGTTTGATATCAGAGCAAAACTTCGATCCATCATCCCCTCCTTCTTTGCGTTTATTCTCAAGAACAAGCTCCTCACCTCTGCTTGTGAACTTTATGGTTCATCATCGTCAAGTTTTAGATTTTGCAACAAAAATCCATTAGTCCATAACCCAAATACTGTGAAGACCAAATAGAAGAATAAAAAGTAGCCTACACTTATCTAGCCCAACTCTGTCCAAATATCAACCCCTACCCACGTTATACCTAGCCAATATTTCAAAAATTACACCAATACCCCTAAACCTTTCTAAAAATAGAGATTTAACTCTAAATTTTTGAAATTTCAAATTGGCACCAGAATTTTCTAAAATTACAAGTTGACCCCAAGATTTTTAAAAAATTTCTCAAAACTCTACTCCAATCAAGATGGTGACCAATACCGAATTAAATGCTGGAATTGAAGCACGTGATTCGCAGATAGATTCACTCCAAGCATCAATGGGCTCGCTCCACACACCAATGAAATATATACATGAAGATGTACACAAGTTGGCTGCCATGTTTGGAGTTAAGCTTTCAAATAAGAACCTTGCAAGCAAGACAGAGATTGATTCATCTTTTTCATCAATTAATAATCAAGCCATGATTGATCAAACCATCATCAAAATTGTTTGATGAACTCAAAAGTTCTCCTACTCATTCTACATCAATTGTTTTTGATAAGTCGATTTCAAAAGATGTTCATACAAATGAAGTTAAACAAGTTTTCAAAAATTTCACTACAGATGGAGTTGCTACTTTGTCTCCACCTATGCTTCCTTCATCTATATCAGTGTTTGTGGACAAGATTGTGAAGAATGTAACACATAAAAGCTAAGAAGCACAGATACGGATACGGATACGTGACACGAGTACGATACGATACGGATATGGTGATACAACAAAACTTAAAAAAAAGGATATGGGTACGGCCAGGATACGTCTATAATAAAATATATTTTATATTTTACTATTTTTTAACGACTTAGAATTTACAATTTTTCAATAATTCTTTAATATTAGTAAGTAAAATTAGAAATTTTTACAATGAAAATGATGAAATATCGTTTCATTATGATATGTTCATAAAATGAGCATAACCAATTGAAGGAATTATAACCATATTTAACTAGTTGGTTTTACAAGTATTTATTTTTAAAAGCATAGTGTAAGTGACTCATTTTTTTTATACTCTCTTAACATGTAATAATAGATAATACTTAAAATACACTCGTATCTTCGAAATCAATGAAATTTTATTGATGTTTTATATTGTATGTGAACTTCAAAGAAGGGGTATAGCTTAAAATTAAAAATTGTACATCTTATTTATTATCGGATACGGATGATGCGTATTTGATACGTATCATCGAGTATCCGATGAGCATCGTATCCGATACGGGTACATCGACCTTAACAAAATATCCGTGCTTCATAGCATAAAGGGATTATTTTCTACTCTAAGGATTTACAATGTTTTTCTTAGAACACAAGTTTCTTCACATTTCTTAGAGCCCTGTCTTTACAACTCTTCAGAGAAGAGTTTGTTTCAGCTGAAGAGAATTGATAAAAGATCGAAAGAGGATTGGATGAGCTTAATTGAAGAGTTGAATTTTATTATTTGTTTCGTATTATTTTATTAGTTAGGGAATGTTTGTTTGACTACGAGTATCAATTAGAGTTTAATTAGGAAATTATTATCGAGTTTTAGTAAGATAGGAATTTGAGAGTTTGGTTATGAAATTATTTTAGAATTTTATTAGGATAGTAATTTTTATTTTGGTAGGAGACTTAGCCTATAAATATTGATGTATCCCTACTATTTTCATTAGAGAGAGTGATATAATAAAAATTTGTTTCTCTGTGAAAAATTTTGTGTGTTTCTTGACCTAATCCTTGCGAGGGTTTGATATCTTTTCTTCTTCTTTCTATTCTCTGATTTCTTCTTCTTTCGTCCTACATCAATAACATACTTGTCAAATGACACTACTAAGGTTAGACAACTGGAAAAAGAAACACAAACATCTTTCACCAAGATTGTGCTATTAATTAGTAACTAGGAAGTACGGCTGTGAACACAGGGATATGATAAAGGTCAAAATATAGGACATAGGTACGACAAGGAAACGGCTAATTAAAATAATATAATATATTTTTTTGATAATAATAGAATTATAATATATTAAAAACAAAGCATATTTTATAACAATATTAATAATAAGAACTAACAAACACTAAATTTTTTATTAAAAGTCAAATAGATCAAAATAAACATCCACCATTTTCATCAAATATCGTTACATTCATTAACATTGAAAGTATACAAGTTACATAACTAATAAAACAAAAAAAAAAAAAATACACCCCTTTTAATTGTTGGCATTTTTTTTTCAAAAAAAAAAGTCTTAGCGTGTCCGACTATATTAACTATTTATGACACTCTTCAGGAAGTATCCATCTTTCCTAGATCAGTAAACTCCAAGGCTAGACCTAATGATAATTCCAATAGTAAGAATACATTTCCTTGTATGCATAACTCTTTCAAAATCTTAGCCAAATTAAAGGATGCCACGAACAAGCAAACATATTGTGTTCAAATCTCCTCTACCAATCTTGATGATGTTTAGTATCACATCTAACAACCATTTTAGGAATTCTAAATTTTCTTAAACCCATTTTGGCAATACCTATCCCTGTAAAATACAAACTTCGTGTCTTTCCAAGTCATACACACAATTGGTGCTGATGTTACTAATAATGCGTATAGCATATGCATAGTTGAAAAACTAAATGAAGCAAGCAAGATGATGATTATCAAGTAGAATTGAACACAACTTATGGTCAATTCAGATCAAAAGAAAAGTTGGTACTACAATTCCATATTTGTTCTGACCTTCAGAAGATTCACAGTATTAAGACCAGAAGGACGACTTTTGCACTCCTGTTTTTCTGATACAGAAACAACTTCCACAAGTCCATCCTCCATTACTATCCTTTGAAACATCTCAGCAACCTGATATAGAAAAAATTATAAGAAATATGCATGTTGGGAAAATGTTAAATCAAAATCCTTCCCAAAATTAAAAAAACAGAGAGGACCTTACATCTGAGTCAAACAACCTGTTACGCTCCCATTCCAGCTTAAGTTCATACCCACTATGTCTGATATAAGGATGCAAAGCCCAAAATTTTTCAGGCTTGAATGTTGTAATTTGCAGGTAGCGTTGGACACAAAATCCAAGGGTAGGAGTTTGACATGGGCCATAGCTGAAAGCAGGAATAAGGAAATGAATGATTACACACACACGCGCGGAAATTAAATAACAGTCAAAAGCAAATGTACACTTTAATACTCCATCAATAAGTAGATCTTGTAAGCAATTTGCCTTCATAAACAGAATACCTACAGGATACTACAAGAGTCTCATAAAATAATTACTTCTTAACAAAATACAAAAAGGATTAAAAGCATCACTAGGCATTAAAGTTGCACATTAATGAATAATATCCATGACAAATTTTTAACTTCAAGGGTAATATAACAAAAATCTTTCTTCAAAAAATATATGTGAGCATCAAATATACGACCTCTAGGCAACCTTAGCTGGAAACAACAGCATTCTGAGTAGATCAAAACTTCTTGTGGAAGAGAGAGGGGGGGGGGGAGGAATTTATTGAAAAGTCCTTCTCTGGTGTGATTGCAATCACCGGGGTCTATACTTCCCTTTCTCCGGAAGGCTCTGTTCTCTTTGGGAGACCAATGATTATCTTTGGGGAGCTTAAGTGGATAATTGTATGTAGCTTGCAATTGCAATTGCAGGGATATACCTCACTACACCCAGACGTTTTCTTTCTCTTGGGGAGTGAGTGTTCAGTGAATACTTTTTGGGAGTTCGGTTGGATAATTTAATTAAGGGTGCAGGAAGCTACCTTTGTCTCGACTAGAAGTTTTCTTTTGCACCCTCTAAGAGCTTTTCATGTTATTTAATCTTAACAATAAGCACAGATCTAAACTCCAAGGACAACAACAGGTGACACAAACTTGCATCTGCAAAGAACTTCACATAATAAAGTATTACCAGGAGAGAAACACGTCAATGTGGGAACATATTATGATGACCTTCAGGGTCTCTCAATTGGAACCCAGTAAAGTGTCTTCATTTTCTTGTAGAACAACTGAAATCCCTCTAAAATTATCCCCGTGTGCGTTAATTACAAAACAAAGTGCCTGAGATTGCCACGATGAAGCATTGTGTAGGGAAGGCAAGCTAGCATATTACAACTAACTTAGAATAATTACAAGATCATTATCCATCAATGAAAAAATATATAGTCCATAAAAAAGACTAGATCTCAATTACTTTTTATAATATTAAACTAAGAACAACTTCATTTGTGAATGTAGTTGACTTGTGACAAAGATCTGACTAGTAGACACTCCAACCCTTCTAAAGAAAATAGGAGAGAAATCGAATCTGTGAAAAGCATTTAAGGTACCTATCACACGCTTATAGATAAATAAGTTTAAGCTCCTCCACTATCCATGTGTTCTAACTGGCTTGCTTTCTAAGGCACTTTACCATACAGCTTTAAATGCAACTTCAACAACTTCCGCCAGGTTCTCAAGTCACTAAACATACACTAGAAATGGCTCAATAACAGCACTGGGTTCATCAAAAGCATATAAACTTAAAATGTTGAAAGCACATTACAAAGTACCTGATTTGAAGTCTTAAACAGTCAAAAAACCATCACCTTAAGCTTATGAGTAAGTGTGCCTTAATGCCAGTTTGAGCTCAACACAAAATCCCCTTGGTTAAACTACTTTTAACGCCTACCTAACTTACCTTTCAGATCTGGGGCATGTTATTGCTAGTTCCAATAGCCGTCCTTCCTAAGGATCAAAATTTTATTTTTGGTGTTTAGTTTCAATCAGCTTAGAAAAGGAAACATTTCGAAAATATGATGGAAACAAAGAGAAGTATTGAGAAATTTAATTCCAAAACATTGATCAACACATACCGAACATGCCGAAACATAATAATANTTCGAAAATATGATGGAAACAAAGAGAAGTATTGAGAAATTTAATTCCAAAACATTGATCAACACATACCGAACATGCCGAAACATAATAATACACGTCAAACCATAGGAATTCCATATTCATCAATGATTCATTTATATGCTGATAACACATAGCCAGGAAAAAGAAAACTTACGAGACAACTCTTGAATCAAGATTTCCATATTTCCCTTGGAAATAACTAGTTTGAAATCTTGTAAATGCAACTCCAACTTTCAAATCTATCTCTTGGCGAGCATCTACTGCTAATGACTCATCTCTGTTGGGTGCAACAAGGTTGTTCATAGCCTTCATAATATCTTTCTCATTAACAGAGGAAAATCGTGCTCGATGAATTACTCTACCACCATTCATAGGAAATCCAGTACACTCAATAACTGAAATGACAGGAGGAAATAAAAAAGGCAGTAATCTATGGAGTATCAAGCATATCACCATTGAACCAAATTTTTCTCCCAAACAAAAATAAGAAAAATAAACATTTGAACTCTGCACTCAGTAAATGCTAGTAGTAAGAGACAAAAAAAACTCTCCCCTGTAAGGGTTCCTAGTTGAGTAATAAGGATTAAGGAAAGACAAGTTCGCTAAATTTGCTTAGAGAAAGTTCCCTGCAGATATAGCAATACATAAACCATCTGCCACAATGAATTAAATTTGCCACGCTCTTCCACAGAATATTACCAAAAGACGTGTGTGGCCCTCTTACCTTTTGTCTTCTTTATGAAATGGATGTATTGTAACATTCTCCATTCTTACCGCATAGATGCCTTTCATGCATATGAATAGTCTTCAAGTCTTTTTGAAGAAATGACTGGTTGATAACTCTGGTAAGTACTTGAAAGTGATTATTTTCAACACTTTTACTGTTTAAGTGCATTTAAACTGCATGATTAGTTGCTACTTAAAGTTGATTTTAGAATTTTGATCAAAAAATGTGTTAGAGCATCCATCTCAAAACTAATTAGTAATGAGTGGACAGACCCCTTAGAAAAACCAACCTTAGTTGGCTCTAAGTTTTCGATGTGAGATACGAGCTCTATTTACACCTTCCTTCACGTAGGACCTACGTTCACAAGTCGGCTAACAAAAATAAATGCATACCCAGAAATTCAAATGGGTAAGAGATAGGATTCACCGTTCACCAAAGGCTCAATTCTAAATTTCTAATATCTTGTTAAAGCATCCAACTCAAAACCAATTGATAATAGGGGCAGCCTATAAGGCGCATACTAGTTTGGGAAGTAATAATTGACCGATGTAGGAAACGTACCCCAAATTTTTATGTTAACAACTAAAAATTTTCAGTTTCCCAAATTTAGCAATGAAATGTCAGTCAGAGTTCAATCATGACGAAGCAAATATGGAACACTCCCATACACAAAATACTAAAAAAAAATAAATACCTACTTAGCTTTCTATGGACAGCATTTTAACAAAACTGTGGAATCAAAATCTCATCCGCTGAAGATAATACACCTCACATGAAACAATTGGCCACTACAGCTATACTTTCTCTAGTCGCTTCAAAAAAAAAAAAAAGGAAAAATCAACTCAACTAATAACCTAATAAGTTCAGACCTGCTACACAAACCAATGTCCACATAGCATTTATCAACAAAGGAGCCTTCCAAGGCAATTTACAATGAAGTAGCCATACTAAAATTCTCTAAAAAAATGATGATGACAAATAATGGAAGAACTCCAAGAGGGCTGACACAAAAGCAACTTCCATGTCTTATGACCAGAAGAGAAACATGCACAACAAATGGGAAGATCACAAAGAGAGAGAGGGAGGGAGGGATAAAGAGAGAGAGAGACACTGTAATAGCCAACAAGTGGGTGTAACTCCAGCTTCATGCGGCCCTGCTACATGCTATTGTCCTCTTTAAACTGCTATATATAACATACAAGAGTCAAACAGTTGTTTTACCTCCTCTTTAAACTGCTATATATAACATACAAGGGTCAAACAGTTGTTTTACCTAAGCTTACCATGCCGTGCAAGTGTCCTTTGATCCATGGGCGTATCAAATAATAGAATATTAGTCATCCACAACGGGAAAAGGATGGCCTTGAGAAAATATTAATCAACGGAGTTATCTACTTAAAAATTATTATTTAGGGTTGTTAACTGACCTTAATAGGTTAAGTTTGGATTTTGAAGATATTGAGCAGCATATATCTATCATACCAAATANAAAAAATATTATTTAGGGTTGTTAACTGACCTTAATAGGTTAAGTTTGGATTTTGAAGATATTGAGCAGCATATATCTATCATACCAAATAGCTAACACATTATGAGGCAAGCTCATTGATGCTACATCCAAGGTAATTTTAGAAGTTCTGTGAAGCAAAAGTTTGAAGAGTCTAAGCATAATTTAGGGTGCACCCTTTCACATGTTAGTTTCCAAGGCATATGCCCTCTGTCAAACAACACAAGAAGTGTTCTGATTTAAGCCATAGGCTTCCATGTACAAGGAGTTTGAAGATATTCCTCCCTTTTGCATTAGGACAAGCTAGANTGCTACTTAAAGTTGATTTTAGAATTTTGATCAAAAAATGTGTTAGAGCATCCATCTCAAAACTAATTAGTAATGAGTGGACAGACCCCTTAGAAAAACCAACCTTAGTTGGCTCTAAGTTTTCGATGTGAGATACGAGCTCTATTTACACCTTCCTTCACGTAGGACCTACGTTCACAAGTCGGCTAACAAAAATAAATGCATACCCAGAAATTCAAATGGGTAAGAGATAGGATTCACCGTTCACCAAAGGCTCAATTCTAAATTTCTAATATCTTGTTAAAGCATCCAACTCAAAACCAATTGATAATAGGGGCNAAATAACACATTATGAGGCAAGCTCATTGATGCTACATCCAAGGTAATTGTAGAAGTTCTGTGAAGCAAAAGTTTTAAGAGTCTAAGCATAATTTAGGGTGCACCCTTTCACATGTTAGTTTCCAAGGCATATGCCCTCTGTCAAACAACACAAGAAGTGTTCTGATTTAAGCCATAGGCTTCCATGTACAAGGAGTTTGAAGATATTCCTCCCTTTTGCATTAGGACAAGCTAGAAAGCATCGTGTAGCTTGTAGTTTGTTTACTATTTGTATGTTCTTTCATGACCTGTCATTGTGTTGGACTCCTTGTCCACCTTTGATTTGGTGTTCTTGTAATGACATTTGATTGTCAATAAATTGTTGTTTCATATCGAAAAAAACTTTTGAATTTCGTATTAGAAAGCCAAAGTCAAAAACAACTGAGTTGAAACAATATCATACCCATTTATAGTTCAAATGTGTGAACAATGCTGACAGAAAAAATAGTTGAATATTGGGAACATACATGCAATCCAAGTTTTAGACATTGACAGACTGATTGAAGAACTACAAACACCCTAGATGTTAATGCAGAACAAGCTGATATAAATAAGCATACCATATTTAACAAATTCCTTCAATGGTCTCTATCAAAATTAAATCATGTGATCAGATTGTACACTTCTTGAAAATAACCACCAAAGAGTTTAGATTGATAACTTTCAATCAAATCATCCAATTCTATGTTATGCACTGTAGTTCTAAGGTTCAAGAATTCTCATACCCTCTAAAGTGACAAAAATTAAAAAGCAGGTAGTGGATCAGTTCAAGCAAATTAAAATTAAAAGACATAATTTTTTGTTCAAATGAACCAAGATTTGTTAGAGCTTATTTTTTATCTTTATTATTATGAAGGGTACTTTTGTCGGTTTAATATTTACAACTATAAATATAAGGGACCAAGGGAGAGAACCCTAACTCTCCTCTTTTTTCCAACCATCTTCCTTTTCTTCCTTTTCTTTTCTCTTCTCCATATCTTCTCTTTCTCTTTACATTAATTTAACATGGTATCAAAGCAGGTTCCATGATTCTTAGATTTATCTACACATAGAACACAACTAATTTTTTTTTGGTCTGCAAGAAGAAATAGGTTGTATTTTCATGAATTTGTTTTTCTGCCCGCAAAAAAAAAAAAAAAAAAAANGTAGTTCTAAGGTTCAAGAATTCTCATACCCTCTAAAGTGACAAAAATTAAAAAGCAGGTAGTGGATCAGTTCAAGCAAATTAAAATTAAAAGACATAATTTTTTGTTCAAATGAACCAAGATTTTGTTAGAGCTTATTTTTTATCTTTATTATTATGAAGGGTACTTTTGTCAGTTTAATATTTACAACTATAAATATAAGGGACCAAGGGAGAGAACCCTAACTCTCCTCTTTTTTCCAACCATCTTTCTTTTCTTCCTTTTCTTTTCTCTTCTCCATATCTTCTCTTTCTCTTTACATTAATTTAACATGGTATCAAAGCAGGTTCCATGATTCTTAGATTTATCTACACATAGAACACAACTAATTTTTTTTTGGTCTGCAAGAAGAAATAGGTTGTATTTTCATGAATTTGTTTTTCTGCCCGCAAAAAAAAAAAAAAAAAAAAAAAAGGAAAAATTCAGTACCTTGGTCGAATTAATGAGTAGAGACTAGCTACGATTTTTCTAGATTTCTTTTGAAATTATTTGTTGTTTCATTCAATTTTTCTCTAATTTTTTAGAAAATAGAGTTATTTTTCAAATCTGAGTGTTCCAGTCTTTTTCCGATGGATTTACTGCTTGTAATAGAAACTATGGGTGCCGATTTTGACTGCCCAAGGGTTGTCTAGTGCAGAGTAATTTGTTTGGAGTTTTATGGCTTCAAGAGGGGTGAAAGACATGTTTTTGTTCAAAGATAGTTCGTTTTGCACTCCGGCAATGATTTCACTAATTTTTTGTATTTTCAAGTTTGATTAAATGCAAGTGTGAGGTAGTAGCTATGTTTCTTATTGTTTTTTGGTTATTTTAGCTATTCAGAGTGTATCTAACCTTTAAGAAGAGGTAGAAATTAGATTAAACATATCGGCATCTAACACAGTCTCTCAAAAACAATCAAAAAGTACTACAAGTCAGCTTGGACTCCAACTGCAAATCCCCACCTACATATTACAATAGTGAAACTTGATGGCCACAATTACCTTACCTGGTAGCAATCAGCTATGTTGTTTGTTAGTAAGGGAAAGATGAGCTATTTGATTAGAAAAAATGAGGAACCAAAGACTAAAGATCCATTACATGATACAACCCTTTATACAACCAAAGATTTAGCAATGGCTATTTGTTTCCACATACTGCCAATGAAATTTGGAAGATAGTATCACGAACCTACGCAAAGATGGACAACATGGCTCAGATATATGAATTGAAATGTTGAATTCACAATATTAAGCAAAAAAATTCCTATTTGGCAATTTATTTTCATACCTTACGAGGGGTTATGGAAAGAATTGGATCACTATCAAAGACTTGACATGGAGTGTGCTAAAGATGCCTTAAAACTACAGAAATTGATTGAACAAGAGAGGATTATTGAATTTCTTACTAGCTTGAATTCTGAGTTTGATCAAATTAGGATTTAAATCCTAGGGAAGATTCCTTCCCTAATATGCTTATGCTCAATCAGAAAAGAGCAAGCGAGGGATCATGCTTTATCCTATGCCCCAAAAGAACTCAACCTCGTTACTACTACTTCTCGACGGTTTGGAAGTAAGAACTTGAGGAGAGGATGTGCAAATCATGTTGCATCTGATCATAAAGTTAAGTTGTATTGTGATTATTGCCATAATCCAAGACATAATAGAAAGACTTGTTAGAGATTATATATTCACCCTCAATTTGGGGG